AGCATGCTGGCAGCAGAGTACAGTTACAGCCACAAAATATATTGCCATTCTAAATACTCAAGTATTTGATTGTCTAAATTTGCTTCTGAGACATTATAAATGCTTTATTAAAAATATAATCTAAATTCTTGCACAAAATATTCACACACTTTTTTAAATTAAATACCTAAAGTGAAATAAAAGAATTTAATACATGCATCAAGATAGGCTCTAAACTGCATATAAAACATCTACCACTGAGTTCAAAAAGGCAAGATACAAAAACTTACAAGATTGGAAGTTTTACCACAATAACTAGCCTTGCAAAGTTGCAAGTAAACAACAACACACTGTTAAAAGCTATCTTATAATGATAATGCTATCATTTTCCTGTCTGTTACACAGCACTGGTAGCCAAGCCACACAAGATGAGGCTCACATGGTGAGTCTTGAAACTCTACAGAGCTTGAGTGTGATGTCCTCATGAAGGGCACATACACAGCGCAACATGTTTACCAACAAGCTTGCTAATTAGCACTTAACTAGTGAAAAGAGACCAAGATGCTGTTTCTGGTATCATAATCAGTTTCCAAGATGGCTTGATCATAATTATCTTTTTATCACTATACTATGAGTGGTGCCACGGCATGGAAGACAACTTTCTTTCCTGCAGTTTTTTCAACAAAATTAGATTCTTGTATATGCCAGTCTTCATGCTGTACAAACTACCCTTCTTATCTGGCTTCTCCTAAAGGGCACCAAGGTCACGCCTGGCTGTTCTTTTATTGGTGGCAGCACAAAAAAATAACAAGGGAAATCAACATACTCTGATATTCTATGGCTCTTGCCCTACGCTGCTAAGGTCACACGTAATACCAGCTTGTTAAGACATAAACTAGGCAATCTTCATAACTTCCTAGATGCTAATTTGGTAAAAACTGAACATATCTAAAATCCTGGGACAAAAAAAATAATTATGACACTAGACCTCGTGAAGTCCAATTTTTAATAAAAAAGGGAAAAAAAACACTGAGAAAACTCTCATAGGACTGGGCCACAGGGGAAAATTAGATCACATTTGAGCAAGTTCAAGTTAGTGGGGCTGTGAGATCTTGCTTTGCTGCGGGTAAAGCAGCTTGCATACCAAGAATCTACTGCAGTACGCTTGATACACAGTAACTTGTCAAGCCACAGTAATTTACTCAGAAGTTTCAGTCTAAACACAATATTATGCATAATTCAGCACACAGCATAGATGAATTCTTTCTTACCTGCCACTATGGCAGCTACATGTAGTTAACCTTACGGCATATGTCCTACAGCCACACTCAATAATTCAAAAGATATTCTAGCCCAACAGAACTACCCACCAGAGACCATCACACAGGCCTATTTCTGTAAAAATCCATTTCTATCTCTCAGACTTCGAGGGATTCTGGGAAGTGGAGAGGACTGTTTAGCTTCACATAAGGTGCCAGGGAACCTAGGTGCAAAAGACTCACAGAATGGTTGAGGTTGGAAGGGACCTCTAGAGATCATCTAGTCCAACCCCCCTGCACACGCAGGGTCACCTAGAGCACGTGGCACAGGACTGCGTCCAAGCGGGTTTGGAAGATCTCCGGAGAAGGAGACTCCACAACCTCTCTGGGCAGCCTGTTCCAGTGCTCTGTCATCCCCACAGGAAAGAAGTTCTTCCTCACATGGAGATGGAAGTTCCTGTGTTTTAACCTACACCTGTTACCCCTTGTCCTGTCACCAGCCACCACAGAGAAGACTTGGCCCCGTCCTCCCTACAATCACCCCTCAGGTACTTGAACATGTTGATCAAATCTCCTCTCAGCCTTCTCTTCTCCAGACTAAACATGCCCAGCTCGCCGACAGAATTAAAGAGAAAAATCTTTCTTTCACCAAGGTTGCCACATTGCCTTAAGGCCATCACAGGCACAGACCACATTTTCTTGAAGGTTTGAATTCAGACCCCTTGTTTAGCTCTCAAAACATTCATGAACAGTAGCTCCTTCAAATATTATTTAAGATTTAGTATGTACATAAAATACAATCTCAGTGCATCACAAAAAGGCAGCTTGCTCGGACAACAGGAGAAACATAAAGCCAGTATCACCTAATGCAGCCCCAAACATGAGCGTTCAACAAGCAGTCTAGTTAACCTAGGTGGCTTAAATTCCAGTCAAGTTTGGAAACAACATAGTACTATTCCATGGTCCAGCGTACATGGAATAGTTGGTAAAACTATTCCGTGAAGAAATAAATTCCACCAAGAAATAAATGTAAGTACAATTACCCCTTTAAAAGGGCAGATAGCGAAGGAAAGCTCTACGCCCATAGCTTGGAAATTAAAATTGTGTTCTGCTATATTTCCAACACATAGCTTTTCATTTCCATTCCAGCAAAGTCTGTTTCTTATAGCAAGGATGAGGTTGCTATAGCAATTACTTATTATCTAACATAACCCCTTTTATGTCAATAGATTTCAAGTGAAGAGTACCGTATATTTGATCTAGTTCCAATGAGAGATGTCTACACAGGCACTGCAGGAACTAGCTAGGGAATTAATGTGAATTCAGGCAATTTGCTTGGCAAAAGCAAGTTCTAGCCAAGAAGGAAAGTAGAGGTCAAAAATCAGCATTGCTGCGCAAGTTGTTAAGATACACAAAATCCCCCAGCTTGAAGTCAGCAAGACAAAGAATTGGCTAAAAGAAACCTCTGCACACAAAAACTGAGAGTTGATTGTAAGTCCAGTTTTATCAGTGGACAGGATGTGAAGCTCATCATCTTCACAAGAAACAGAGAACACACCCAAGGAAAGAAAAGGCTTACTTAAATTGTAAAAGCAGCATTTAAAGTAAAATGTGTCCAAAATATTATGTGCATAAAGCAGTACTTTTATTAAAAATGGAAGCCTATAGGTACAAAATAAAGCTAAATAATAAAGCTAAAAATTTTTGAAGAGTCATAGTTGGATCTACGATGACAAAGTCCCCTGCTGCAGCAATACAGTGTCACAATGTCCCCTATTTGCCATTTCTAGAACAGTTTAATGCCCAGATGCACCTCCAGCCTCTCAGACGTGACTGTCACAAGGGACTGCTCAGCCTCAGACTGCAATGCGACCCCATAGCTCCTCATCAGCAGAGATGTGTGTGATGTGCAGGAGCACAGATCCACACTTGTCTGGCTCCTAGCTACTAAGCAGCAAAGCAGAATCGCACCTACTGCCATCACACATTTCGAAATGTGCCTGTACAGGTGGGGATGGGCAGCAGGGTAGCCTAAAATGAGATCAGTTTTAACACAAAAAGATTGATCTAACTGGATGGCAGAAAAAAAAAATCCTATTGTGTAACTTCCAAAAGGATTCACCTTTTCTAATTATATCCTTCCAAAATCCTTATATCTCAACCAACTCAGCCAACATTACGTGCTAACATCAAACGATTGTCAAAGTAGACAGGTAGCAAAAGACTGATTCATCCCATCTTAAGGTAAGAGTCTAAGGCAGGTCAGATGAATTATCTTGTGGGGTGCTCTCTTTCCTTTCATTATCAAGGGAGCCTCATTTAGACTGGATAGTAGTAGACAGATAGGTAAAAATAATAAGGCAATATGACTCCCCTCATAATGATCAACACACCAAAAGGGGGCAGTTTATTACAGCTTCCCTTCCAGAAAGATCTCTAGGCAAAGTGTTCTCTTAAGTTTTTCTCTACTTCTAGAATTGTAAAAGTTATGTTTTACAAGTTGATTCCAAGCACTGTTGATTCCATCACTGGTAATCAATCTTGCATTATCTTCTGCATGAATCAAGCTACATTCAAGAAGATACAGTTTGTAGTACAAATCTATGTGCACAGCAGCAAAGTAGATACTTACAGAAACAGCTGAGCTGGGTGTATTTGTACCATAGCCAGAAGAAGGGAGAGAAGCCAGAGACCAGCGGCGACCATCAGTCCTGTTGTGAAAGGGAAGTTAGCAAACACATACTGCAGTATCCTTGCACAGTAACATCTGTGAACGGGTTATTGTGTAAAACTGCATTCCAGAAGCATGATACAAGCAGGGTTTTTAATAGAGAGTAAACTTTCACAGGGGATCACAATAAACAAACGTTAGGCAAGCATGACCTTGGCTTTGGCATTTTCGGGGCGCATTTTTTTTTCTGGCTAAAAATCTATGAAATGAAACAACTAGAAAGCAAATGAACGGACTAAGAGCACTTATCTCTCACAAATACGTATTAAAAATGGTCACAGGGAGTCTTCTTAACTCTCTGGTCCATTAGATGGAAATTAATGAGAAGCAAACTCAAAACTTGGGATCAAACACAATCCACAAGGCTCTAATCCACAGAACAGCCACTAACAGTCTGCTAAGAACATCAGGGTAAGTCTCTACAGTGCGACCCCAGCACAGGACACCAGCAAACCAGCAAGCTAACATCACATAACTGGGATGATGAAGTTGGAACTTTAACTTGTTAAAAGATACACATAGATCAAGAAAAAACAAACTATTTTTCTGCTAAAAATCATGCTTTCTTAGGTTAAAAAAAAATCCTAGCCAAACACAATTCCTGCTTTTCATAACTTCAGGTGATCTAAACACAGACAACACAGGATTTAAAAATTCAGAGAGACAAATCAAAAAGCAACTATGGGATTGGTATTTGTTTTTTTGAGGAGGTAAAGTTTACCTGTCATTTCGGTGCCCATGACTGGAGTACAATTGTATCAAATATGTTAAAGAGAAAAGGCAAAATAATACACAGGTAAATAACGATTGAATTTTTTTTTTTAGCAATATAATAGTGTGGGAAAAGATAGGAGAATTGAAACTGTTTCACAGCTAGTACAAACATCTAATCTCAAATCTGATCTTGCTCAAGAAATACAATTCAATTGAAGAGAATTAAAGTAGTGTCAAATCAGGAGCCCAAACTTTTTGATTCAACTTCTCTACCCTTCAAGATAACAAAAAAAAAAAAAAAAGTCTAGATCTGTCTGTTCTAAGGCCTTCCTACTTCCATTTATCCATGTTACAACTCAACCCTCTGGGACTTTGAAGAAGCCTGAGAAAAAAGAGCAAGAATTATATCTTAATTTTGTCAATGACATAATACAATATACAATGTCGTTGCACATTAGAAAGGTCATGCTAAATAAAATAAAAAGAGCATGTGGAAGAGGGCCTGCTGACTAAACTCTCAAAGAACCTCTCTCTCATATATCTCTGTGTGTGTGTGTGTGTGTGTGTGTGTGTATACACATTTTTTTATTCTATTCATTACTTCTCTTTCCTTGCTCTTCTTCCCCAGGTATGAATAACCATACTCCTGATGCATGAAAAATTTCAAAACGATTTTTCTTTCTCTTTTTGGCTCAGCTGCATAAGCTAATTTTGTTCAAGTTGATGGAAAAAACAACCTGAAAGGTATTTAAACATGGCTGAGACCTGTATATTCTGCAGCTGTAAGACTTCCTTACTACATGATTTAGACTGAACAGGGTTCCTGCATCCACACAGCAACTCCCAATGAGAAGGGCCATGGGAAATGGGGATGGGTTATCACCAAATGTATGTGGGAAGCGGAGAACAGAAAACAACACCTGAACCAGCACTGCAACTCCCTCCCACCACTGCTTGCTTATTTACACTTACTTGCTTACACCGCCACTTTTCCGTATTTAAAATTATTTTAAACTTTTCATTTGAACATAGCAACACTGCAATGCCCTTAGAAAACTCTCAAAAGGGTCAAAGTCAAAATGAAACCCTGATAGACAAACCCATTTTTTTCCTTCTGAATTTTAAGGCTCACAGAGGTGTGATGATTTCAACCTTCTGTTCATTACTGATGAGACAGGAGAACTACTTCCCATCTGCTGTATTTCTAAATAACATCCACAATCTTTCACATCTGATTTTTCCATTATAAGTTATTCCAGGGCTTTATGAATCTTCATCAAAAATATATTCAAAGAAACATAATCTAAAAAGATAATCTTTTCTTTTGGATAGATACTATCAACACAGTCATAAGAATTACTCTTTTTTTTTTTTATAAGCTATACATCTTCAAAAGTGACATCATATACTTTCAGAAAGATTGATATAACTTCTTGCAGATGAGTTTGATTCAGAGGAGATTGAACAGAATACACGAGCAAAGCTTCCTTCCCTTTGCAGCTTTTAAGCAACAAAGTAATTTCCTTGCATCTACTTGTGACAGAGTGTGTGTACAACCTAACAAACCCCTAGAATAGAGGAAATAAAGCTATATCAGTGTGGGCTGCCTGAGAAAGCAACAGCTGCATACCTAGCAATGTTCAATAGGCAAAAACAGTAGCAGCATTCCAATTTTGCCTACAGATTGAGTCAACATACAAAACGTACCCTCTCTCCCAGTCTTGGAGGTAATGAACACATTATTCTAGGTAGGCTGACAAGGTGCTAGGTGATACGGAACCACACTGGCACAACTAAGCAGCCTCCCATGACACGCTATCAGCTTGGGCTACGGTTCGTTTAATAATAATAATTTACTTCATCTATCATTTCAAATTCACTTTCCACCACTACTGACGTTAATTAATCCTCACGGCCCTCCTGCAGGAGGGACGAGCGCCCCTGCAGCAGAGGCGGCGCCGCGGGTCAAGGTCAGACGGACGCGGGGCAGCTGCCCGGAGCTCCAGCCCGTGGCAGGAGCCCCCCGCTCCACAGCGGCCTCGGCTGCGCTCCCCACCTCGCACCCAGGCCTGGCGGCGCTGGGGGCTCCAGCGATACCAGAAGAATCCTCAGGAATTCAAAGGATAAGGAGATAATGACTAAGTTTATATTGTTTGAATCCAATCCACTGCAATTAAGAGTCCATTAACTTTTTACTTTTAATTTGAAAGGTATGATTGCATCATACCCATCATCTAGTACAATTTTGTTGCAACTGAGGTTTAAGAGAGTTTACATAACAGAGCTAGAGTTACTCATTCTCAGTGATTGACCTGACAGATGCAGCTACTTATTAGCAGCCATCATTTAACAACCGGGTTCAACAACACTTCCTCTATGCAAAATAAAGGTTACTTACTACAAATAGAAGTCTTACCTTCGTGCAAAAGAAAAGTGGGCTGAGGCACTGGGAGAGAAGTTTCTAGGACTATCTTGAGGACTGTTTCCTGTTTTAAGGAAGAGGATGACACAAATATATGTAGTTTATAAATATACAAATAAATACTGACAAAAAGAAAATACTACTCAGACCTGCTCATCCTAGCATTTTCAGACAGCTTAGAAACCTGTTTTTGAATCATTCTTCTAAAGTCTCCAAGAAACTAAAACTCAGAAGTCGTACCTTATTTTAAACCATTTCTCATTTATATTCGATCTTTAGCAACTAGATTCTACAATTTATTTCATAATTCTGTTTTCAAAGTAATTAAAATTTACAAAAACAGTATTTTAGCTTGAAAGAAATATTTTCAATGCTGGGAAGATCGTTTTCTATTCTAGTTGTCTATTCTATTTCTATCTAGTTGTTTAATCACATTAATATTTGACAGTTATAAAATCCAGAACATGATTAGCACAATCCAGTCCTTACATAAAGTGTCTATAACATTTTGTCCAACATTTTAACATTTTGTTGTGAGATTTTCATTATTTGCAGTAACTCTGAACTCCTGAGGAAATAAGCAGAGAGAACGCACAGAACGAAAGTTTCTGCTCCAGGCACAGAAAGGTGACCCCACTCCCAAAGGGGTGAGCAGTTCCCTGCCCACGGAGCAGGTAGAACCTCAGGGGCTGCCACTGCTCCCTGGCAGAGCACAGGAGCAAGAGGTGGCAGCTGGGGACAGGGTCTGCTGTCAACCCCACTGCTCCGCAGCTGCAATCAGAGGAGATACAGTATCTAATGAAAAAAATGCAGGGGATGCTTGTATAAAATCCAGCAGGCAGCAATATTTGTTTTAAAACAGCATAGGCTATTGCAGGTACTTAAATAACAGACTGTATTAACAACAAATTAAAGAAAAAAAAGAATGTATTCATTTTAAGTGGTTGGGAGGGGGCAGGGAGAAGGAATGGACATAAATGAGATTGCAATTAAGTGGATAGAAAAGCTTCTGTGTATACATTCAGAATCAACATCTAGCTTTGAGAAGAAAATTACCACCTACTTCTGAAAAAAAAAAAAAGAAAAGCCTGGTGCAATTCCTTGAAGACCTAATGTAGCTTTGATTTCTACTCACATTTTTAATTCAACATTGTGTATATCACAGTGATGTACTTAACAGATGCTTATTTACTTTGCAAAATCATGAAGCTATTTAGATAGCAAACCCAGAAGAAACATTTTTGTGTATGTGTGTGGGGAAGGTTGGGGTGGGAGGGGAAAGGAGAAGAAGGCAGCAGGAACAGATGTAAAATACTCCCCCCAAGAACCCACTTCATCACCCCACAGACACTTCCCAAGGTCTAGAGAATTTCAAGGCAGCCAGGACTTTTGTTCCCTGAGGGGATCCAAAGCGGCACATATGGCACAGATTTCAGTCTTTATTTGGGGACCAACGCAATTTATTCTTGTCCTGCATGAACTGCAAGCAAATACCACATTACCAACAGCAATGGTTCATTTAATTTATCAGTTAACTGGATTTCTTTTATTAAGTAAGGTTTTGTACAAAGACAAGCTAAAAAATGGTTAACACTGTCCAGCTAAAATACGGTTACAAACTCCAGCTACTGCACTAGAACGAATGAGCTGTAATTGGGAATGTCATGGAATTAGATAAAAGAGGAAAAAAAGGCCAAACAGCTACTTTAAAGTCTGACAGAAGAGCAGGGAATGGGTTTTAAAGAAAAAAAAAAAGCTATGGATATAAACACTTTCTGATAGGAATTAATTTGACAAATGAGCAGGTGGGATTGCCCATAAGCTATTTGAACTGGTATCTCTTTAGAAGCTTTATGTGTAACATAAAGCATACACAACTGTTCATTGGTTAGTTACCAGAACATATTTTTAACCTTTACATGGAAACAAAAACATAGCAAAAGAATATTTTTAATAACTATTACAGTGGATTCAACAAGATTCAATAGTGCAAGCTACTTCACTGTGAATAAAGATCACTTCATTACAGCCAAAACACAAAGCAAACTGTTATTCAGGAGAAGCATCAGATCCTATTAAAGTAAAAATCACTGTTTTTAATAGAAGTGAAAATTGAAGTGAATTTTCACTTTCAATAAAAGTGAAAATTGCTGTTTTTAACAGAAAATAAGCTTTTAGAGTAACAAACTTGAAAAAGCTGTATAATAATGTATAATAATAATTTTTTAATCCTGCACGTATGTCCAAGCAACAAGTCATACAAGCGTGGGAACAGAATGAAAAATCCAAACTCTAAACGATTGAGGAAGTAACTACTGCTATTAGAGGCTTAAGGTGTGGTATCCAGAAGAGCCAGATAGGTTAGAAGCAGAGTCCTGTACGTGACCTTCATCCATCACAGCATTCATCCTCCCATCTGCAGGTCAATACCCAAGAGAGTTCCAAAGGAAAAACCACTGCCAGTTAATTCTCTGCCCATATATGCAGCACTTGCTTATTACTCAAACCCTGCTGTTCTTTGGGAGCCACTGCCCATTGTCTTAGTCCTTGGGTATCTCCAGGTCGCTGGGATCACTGCTGATGCTTCTGACCCAACTGGTGGCCAGCCACGAGGCCTGTAAATAGCTCCATGCTCCCCTGGGATGTGGAGTGCAGTGGACAGAACCACCCTTGGCCGAGTAACAACACAAGGGGCCTCGTTTCACAAGCAGCTATTGCTGAGAAAACCATACCCGGGCTAATTAAACTATGCCCCTGTTTTGCAATTAGCTTCGAGAAGCCCTGTGTCTTTGCCACGGAGGGAAAATGCATTAAGTCTTTTAAAAGGCAGATGTTACTTTCAATACATACAATTAATGCATTTTAATAGCTGTCTGCTTACAAAATAAAAGAGTTCTGATGCAAAGACATTCTGATAGCACCGAGGGAATAAGAAATTAATGATAATTGATATCCCAAACTCTTAATGGATCAAAGTCAGCTCCATTTAAAAGACTTGGTGTCATTATTGGATGGTCTCTTTATATGCACCACAGTATATGAACATCATAGCAGTACAACATATCCACAGGACACATTCTTCTGTGTCAGCGTATCTGGTGGCAAACCTACACTGTGAAGTGAACAATAAAGGAAAAAGCAGGTGCAGTTTCAGGTTTCACTTTCATGCTGCAACAAACCAGGCAAGCCTGCAGAAGGCACAGCTGGGCAGTGGGATCATTTCAGATACATCTGCAGGTGCCTTCCATGGAGATCTGCTCAGAGGGGAGAGCTCGAGCTATTTCTGAAGCTGGATTAATTATGTTTTGCACTGGAAAATAACTTGTCCCAGTTAGAGAAAGGAACATTCGCAGGCTCTTTAAATCTGTTGGTCAGGATTTCTGCATCCAGACTTTTTCCTAAATAACTTTGTTACTGTTGGCAGCTGGCTTATTTTAAGGAAATCTCTTACTCTCCTCATGGAGGTCACTGAAACCTGGCATGCTCAGTAGTGCTCGCTTCTAGGAAACATTAATATTAGCTAGACATTAAGGGGTAGGAGACCTTCGGCAGAATTCTGTCTCTATGTCTGTGTTATTCTCGTTTCTCCGAATTGGAATTAACTGTGCCTATGTTCAGAGAAATCTGAAATGTCCCCTTAAAAGACATGGCACAGTGACCAAAGTTCCATGTATTAGCACACAACAAAAAGAGGACATCATGCAAACTACACACTTAATATAGCGAACAGGCATACCAGAAATAGTGGTATCTTCTGATCACTACTTAAAGAAATGAAACCCTAGCAATATTTTATTTTGATCATATTATTAAAAGTTACTGAAACTGGATGTAACTTGCTACTTGCCCTTTGCTCTATACCTTATTCCTCAAGCAACACTAGGTCCTCCAAAATAGACTAACTTCACTTTGTCCAAGGATTAGACTGAATAAAGAGTCCAATTCCAGTAAAATAGTTTCTATTATTCTACATGCAACAACCAGAAAAGTTGAAATACTGTAGTACTGTCTTTTCCTTAAATATCAATTTTATTTCAAAAACAGATTCAGAGCCCTATCTTAGCTTTGGCTTTTAGCACACTCCTGTATTTCACCATAAGAAAAGTGCAATCTTTTACTGTTCTTCTAGTATGGGCATGCTAGAGAGATCAATTTTACTATGGAACAATTTTTTAAACCCTAACAGAAAAGCCTGCCCTCAAAGTAAAAGTCAGTGACATGTTTACAAAGAGGATTACAGAATGGAGGTAGGACCTCTTTGGCCATGGAATTTTGCTTTAGGTAACTTCATGTAATCACAAATTTACTGACTCCAAGAGGTTGCTTGCCAATGCCATCCTTACTGGAAGATCCTTCAGGAAGCCTCACATTCAGCTAGTTAGAGCCTTTTTTTTTTTTTTTTTTTTAAAGTATATATGGTCAGTATGCACTTTCATGCCTTGCAGAAAATCTCCAGTTGATTTAGATGATAGCACAAGCTTTTCAGTCTCCCTTTTGTTAGGCCAAACAAGCCTCAATCTCTTAGTTTTCTAGGAAAAGCTCTCACATTCTGCTCTATTAGCTTTTCTCCTCATGTGAGCCCACACATGTGGCTATACACATGTGGACGTGTATAGCCGAAATAGCAGCATCACATATGAAAACTGAGACATTATTCAGTGGCATGAAATCTTCCCAGACTCCACTGAAAATAGCTTCCCTCATGGGAAGAGGGGATTTGATTTTGATGGCTACACAGTATTAGTCCTTGCAAACATCATTTGATGCAAATATTCAGTCAGATCCTTCCCTGAATTTCTTCTAATGGACAAGTCCAGAGCTGACAGTTGTTACCAGCAACCAGTAAAAAATTTTGCATTTTGCTATGTAATATACTATAATCTGAGGTGACAGAATCAGTCACCTCAACCCAATTTTCCAATGCTTCTCCATATTGGATACCTTCCAATTTTGACATAAAGTTACTTTAGCTGATGCAGATCACTTTTGAAAAGATTGAACAGGTCTGGACACAAAAGCAAGAACCAAGGACCCTACTGACTTTGCACTTTTTTTAGCACGAACTTCTATCCTCTCTTTAACGGATATATTTAGTTAGCCTGCAATTTACTTTTCAGTAATTTTGAAAAAAATACTCAGTTTAAATTGTCGTAGCTTTGCTGATGTCAGTTACAGTTTCTGCTATCTGAGTACTTGGCCCAAGGCCACAACTTCTAAATTACATGCTTCAGACATATGCAACTGGAATTTAAAAACAGATAAGGAAGTGCTAAACATAATAAAGTGAAAACAACATGTTCCATGTGCACATTATAAATTCTTATCCTTGTATCTGTTCTTAGTGACAAGATATGGTACACAAGAAACACTTTATTAGGATACAGACCAGTAAGATCTACAGCATTTTCCCAATAGTCAGCCACAACTGAGCAGCACCACGGGTGACTATGAATCATCAAGATACCTACCCACCCCCAGGAACAAGCTGCAGCGCCTGCAGAGGTGGGGACACTCAAGTGCCCTGACTCACCAAGGGGATGATCACTCATTCTGCAGGTTGGGAGGTGGCACAAGACCTGCTGGTGCAGCAGCAGCATTCGGCTGCATGGGCCCAGCTCTGGCCATGGCACCAGATGCTGCCCAAGCTGATGCTGCAGCCCTGCACCTCACACATCCAAATGTTCCCACTCTACTGGAGGTTTAACAGCTGCCAGCCCACATACTGAAGGTTAAGAATGTTCAAATTAACTCCAGACAGTTGTTAATAACAATAAGGGTTTGAAACCAAAGAAATGACACTGGTATACATTTGTTCTCTATCTTCCTATAGAAGAGAAAGATTTTAAAAGGCAAGATTATTCTTTAAATTTTTAATGCCTTTTACAGACATGCATAAGGCGTAACAGGAGACACTGGCTGCAAACTAAAAACTGGTCTTCCATCAAAATGTATTATCTCTGCAGCTAGTTCAAGTCCTGCACAGATGAAAAGGGCATTACTAAATTTACTGTCTTAGCACTTAATGCATATGACAGATATATTTGCTGCATATATTATCTTCTGCTTTTCATTTTTTTTTAACCCCTCAGACTCAGGTCCCTTAAACTTCATCATCGTCTCTCGAACTTCAGCCTACTTAGTGATCTCATAACTTTTTATTATAGCCCATGATGAACCTTCACAGATAGCAAGGGCAAATGAATCTGTCTCTCCTTTTGTTGCTACTACTCATGCAATATTGAAGCCTGCCCAAAGCATTTGCTCCACTGATGTGCTTATCTCCCACTTGCTCTCTCCCCATCCTACCACACGAGAATGGCTGAAACAGTAGGGCCATAAATGAAAATGAACTTCCTCCCATTGATCTTTAAAAAAAAAAAAAAAAAACGTTTGTCTAATTGAGCTCAGTAAAAGATAAAATAAATTCTCTTGTGGGAGCAATCTTGCACTGTGTTCTGAGCAAACAACAGAAAAGCGGGAGAGGGGATCCCAGATGGACACTCACAAACTGGAACCAAACCGAGAACTCGGCACAAAGGAACTCTCTAGCACCAACAAGCACTTCTTGGTAGCTGCCAAAGCAAAGCAGCGACTCATGAGTAACAAAGTTCACTGAGATATCTACCTGCCTCTTTTTGTATTGGGCAATTGGGGCCATCCTAAGTTTGGGCCACTGGTCCTCCTCAGACATTCTCTCCCCTATTTATACCACAGGCCCCACTGCACCTTTAGTACCCATTCCAACTGTGAGAATAAAGGACTACAAGGAAGAGTGTGGGTGTTCAGCACCTCGAAGAATCCTGATCCTGATCAGGCAAGTTCCTCCTCTACAGCTGAGCCATACTGCTCCCATCCCATCTCCATTTTGCACAATGCACTGTGATTACCTAGGAGCACACTGATGGATTCTTCAGCAGGTCTGAAGTGATGGCAAATTATTTCACAGGTGCAATCTAACCTCTAGATCATTACTCTAGATATCAAAGATAAAAACATTTTTGAGTGAAGCCACAGAGACTGGCATGAATGCTGATGCAGCATGCTCTGACTAACACAGCTCCACCTTGTTAGATTCATAACATGCCCTTATACACCTTGTTTGACAAAGAGGATGTGCGTAGCATTTCCTCTGCTTTTACAGACGTGACATCTTGGAGGGAGAAAGCAGGTGGCTTAAACTGCAGTTTAGAAAATATTCTCCACAGTAGGATCTCTCCAATATCCCTGTACTTTGCATAGTATCACTAGAATAGATTTCCCAAATATGTATGCAGTTATGACACTTCAACCGAGGAGAGTTCAATGAGTAATCTTTTGTCCAGGGAATGCCAGCACTGATCTTCTCCTCAATACTTGGCTTGCCAATCTTCCTACAGGGCTTGAAACTACATCTTTTTTATTTTTTTTCCCCCTTCTCTGTTTCTTCCTCTAACCTCAATCACTAATAAGAAAGATGTGAAGATATTAAAGATATCTGCCTCTTAACAGTAAAAAAGCTTTTACAGACTGCAGGGTGCAAAGAAATAGTGCTCTGATTTAGGCAACTTCTCCAGAAGAATTTTCTTATGCTCAACTAATTTGCAGAAGTAGTCCAAAAAGTCCTTAAAATACTTCAGCTGGACAGCAGATATACCAGGTTCTCTCAGTGGAGAGAAGGAAGATCAGGAGAGTTATTGAAGTTATCCCTCCCAGCCAAGGAACACCAGGAGAAATAAATCCAGCTGGCTATAGAAGGTGCTGTCCCTTGCCAGGTCTCTCTGCTGTGCTTAGCTGCAAGAGAGAGCAGGAAGCAGAGCTGAGCACAAGCGTAGGTAGATCTGGTGGCTCCGGCATCACGGTTAAAAACCCACACCCTCTCATAAGATGTAGGTTACCAGGGATTTATGTGCATTAAACATGCACCACAACTCTTATTGTAGATGCAGGAAATGAAAGTTTGCACTAATGGAGCTTCTCTGGGCTTTTAAACAAGATATCTACATCTTTGTTTTAATTAGGATCACATTTCCACTGGCCAAATCTTAGGAATTTATCTTGGCTGGCAAATCAACTCAAGGCAGTATCTAACAAATCACTAGAAAGAGAACCACCCTTTTCAAGGGTGACTGCAAGCCTGCTCTAACTTCACACTGTGCCTCTGAGTCTAGTATAGGCACACTAGCCAGCTAAGTGAGGAGCCCATGACTGTGGGAATATTTAGGAAAACTAAAAACAGAGATGCACACACAGCACGTACTGCTCAGTTTAAGGAAAAAAGCAGCTACACTTGACCTGTCTTAATCCTTATATCATCCTTTTTGCATCTTCAAAGCAGCCTGTCAACAGCATTATGATCTCAGCATTACTACTCCCTTTTCCTGGCTTGAGGAACTGACTCCAAAAGATGATGAAACTTGCTGAAGGCACCCACCTCCCTGCCAAACAGGAATTCTTCGGCCTCTCTCAAGCTCACAACTTCTATGCCCACAGGTCATACGTGTTGCTCACTCAAGACTTCTGAGGCCTGCTGTAGAAAGCTGACCCACGCCATGAGTTTGCACAGCGTGGTGCCACTGCCGAGAGCTGCTGCTGCTCTCGCCACAGCAGCACAGCACGACTCCTGCTATGGCAGAGAAATGCTCTGTTCTAGAGGGGCACACCAACACAGGGGCTTTTTTTTTTTCTTAAAAAGAATTTAAAAAGCTGCCTTGAACTCTTTGCTAATCTTCACCATCTCCTCTGAGTTTCTGGCTTTGTGATAACCTGCTTCTCCAGGAGAACCACGATCCTTCTCTTAAAACACTGTTTCCACAAGAAATCTGCAGACACCTTATAACCTCTTGAAAAATGCAGCTGAAATTCTGATTCTTCTCTTCTAACATCTACCTCAAGGCAGTATCCAACAGCAGCAATGTATTCGCTGCCATTGCCTACCCATGTATTGATGATGCAGGGCTTTAATTCTGGCATGTAATTACAGTCAATGCCCAGAAAACATAAGAGGAAATCTTTGATGAAATGTGTTTTGATATACTAAAAACATTCCTTTTCAAAATGAACACAAACAACCATATCAATAAACTCTCATATTTTGGGACAGACATTCAATCTCAAAATGCTCTACAAATGAAACAAAATCATCAACAATTTATTGTTGCAGAAATCAAAGTGAAGAGGTTCCCAGCAACTTGCCTAACGTCAAACACCCTAGGAGCAAGGGCATTAGGAACAGAACAGAGTGCCCTATTCCCTAGCTCTATGCTACCACAAACTATTCTGGATACAGTTTTGCTGATCTCAGAAGAAACTGAAATTGGGCAGGGACAGGCAGGCGGCAGAATCTGTCAGACAAAGTTGGAGGGGATGGATATTGCTGTGATCTGTTAGATATTTCTATCTAGTCTGCTTTTCACTATGTCCTGGGGATTATGGATATAAACTGACCAGAGATTTGAACTTTACACAGCAGTGACATGCATATTCTTGCTCTAACCAACAATGGAAACAAAAGTAGTGTAGAGAAAATCTGTCTGTTTTCTTCTCCTCATATAGACTAAAAAAAAAAAGAAAAAGAAAAGCAGATAATATGGCTGTATGATAGATGAAAATGAATCACCTGCATGAGCTGAGAGAGGTGAATGAGGTCGAGGGAGGGCTGGAGACTGGCCATTGCCCATCAAACTCTTCCTGTTGCTTGTTCTACAGCTGTGGGGGAAAAAAAAAAATACAGAAAACACTATATTAGCATCAGAAATAAAGCATGTACTGCACATGAACATTTTTACTTGTGGCTGCTTTGTTCCTTCACTTCCCAGCCTCCTTTTAGAAAACAGGGGTATTGTTTTAGGAGTGGCATGTGTCCAAGAAGCCTAGAAGCAACCTGGATAACAGCAAAAAGAGAAGCTTCCACAGCAAACACTCTAGAGAGGATTTTCAGGTTTGCACATTCACTGCTCTGTGCGAAGACGAGCAAGCTGCTGCAGAGTACACAGTGTTCTTGTCAACAGCTCATTTCTCCGCCATACACTTCCTTTTTATAATATATAAGAAAATATACAAACAATCTGAAAAACTTTCAATTTAGAATCAGCACTCAATTAAACCTATTTATGTTACATTAACTGGGGCTCCAAATCACATGCCATTAAAAGCAATCATTTATCAATGTGAGAATGATGCAATAATTATAAATTAATTGTTGAGATAAATTTCACATCTGTGTCTTTGTCAATGGAACAGATGATGCCCAAGATGATGAATGTATTTTTTTTGTTTATACATTTTTCATTATAAAGCCACTAATTTCCTGTATCACAAGATACCATTAGGCATCATAAACATTGAATTAATACAACTATTAAATTTGGGAAAGAGGTATTTTCTTTAAATATACCTGACCCTTTAAGCAATAGTTGGCAGAGATACTTTTCTCTTACTATTATAACCTATTTTCTCAAACACAAACCCCACAACGTTGCAAACATTCATCCATAAGTTAAATAAGATCTTAAAGTCAAAGATACTCTAAATTTTTAACACACAACCTTCTGTGCACATGTAAGTTGTTATGGAATTGCAATCAGAAATCATCAGCAAAGCTTCAGGAAAACTCAAAACCACTAAAAAAGAAAAATTCACATCAATTATTTTTTTTTCATTGATACAGCATGCTCAAATAAATTCTGATTCAGATCACAATTTGAATGGTCTCTGAAGAGAGTATATGTTACTTTAGCATAAGGTCTCTATATAAAACCAGGAAGCAAGACTTCGTCTTGACGCTGTATGAGCTAAATAAAATGCAAAAGGATAGATGGAGTAAACAGCAAAAACAGATTAAACAGAACAGATTGTAAAGTACACTGAAGTACTACTGAAAACAAGGAAACAGGGCAGAGAACAGCAAAACTACCTTTGGGATATTAAAGCAATATGAAGGATATTTGCAATTATATTACAAAAAAGTCAAAAAAAAGCAAACAAAAAAAAAAAAAAAAAAGATTTTGAATAATCTTTTACCAAGCAGCAACTGTACCCTTCCCAAGCATTTAAGGAGTTAATGTAGGGTCATTTGAATGAATTATATAATGATTTTCTGTATTGCTTTTTATTATAATCAATTAAAAAATAACTCATACATATACATTCATCATTACTAAAAATCTATGCAAAAGAGAAAGCAAGATACAAGAGATTCATTTTCAAAGCACAAGGGAAGGAAAAGCCAAATAAAACTCATTTTTGTAAATGTGAAACACACACATATATATCCGCACACACACACATATATGCATATATATATATATATATAAAATGTTTTTAGCAATTTGCCTAGGTTAAGCTGAGGTTAGTAGAAGCATTTTCAATGTGCTCATCATTTGATAAAGTACGTGGCAGATGGCTTCTATCCATGAGCACTTGACGACTCCACTACAGCCCCTGCACTGCAGCCAGGTACTGTATGACTCCAGCATGCAGCACCAAGCACCTTGGCATGGGCAAAACCAGGGATCTGAAGGATCCCCTCACTTCCTGTCACACGGAGAGCTTACCAAGAATCTAATCTGTGATCTGTTTCCAGCAAAAGAAATTCCAAAGATAGCGGACCAACCATTCTCCTTCTCTAACCAAACATATTTCTTTACTTTCAGCAAATTCTAGATCCAGCAGCCACTGCACTGATTCCATTGTAAACACAATTCTAGACACGTCTCTCCATACCAATTGTTCTTTAATTCAGAAGCCAAGAATTTTCTACTCATGACAGAACTTCCTATATAAATGATTGTTTTGTATTCATTTTTGTACTCAAATTCAAACTTCACGATCTTCACATGAAGTTGGTGCAATGTCTTTCACAGACCATTATCAAAGGTTTCAAATTCGATTTGTCTTGATTTCTCTATTTTTAAGAATTATTTCTTAGGACTATGACGGTATCATTTTCCATATCAGTATCTTATAAAATACAGAGGGAAAACTACAAGTTTTCCCAACTACCGTTTCAAAATAATCTTTGTTATTTTCTCAGTTATGGTTGCAGCTGTATAAAGTGTTTGTATTTTATTATTCTCCAGTGAAATACCCTACAGTAAGAGATTAAAAAAAAAAAAAAACCTATAAAATATCCTCTAACAATCTTATTGGTAAGATACAGATTACTGCATGAAAGTGTAAATTCATCCTACAGCTGTAACTTTAATTCTATTTCATGAAAATTCTGACATCATGTTACCTATCCTGCAGTCTCTATGAAACGCACACCTGTCCCCAGATTAATACTGCTACAGGAGAGACTCTTAAGGGGTGAAAAAAATCTTCAGGGCACCTTGAAAGACGATCCAAGTTGCCAGAACACCACAGATGGGAAGCAGGGTCTCACAAAGGAGGTAGCGAACAGCTAACTAAGTATGGAGTCTCCCAACACCCGTGTTCTGAACACAAAAGAGTCTCAAAAGCTACAGCCTTTCTGCGGAAAAATCACTTTTCCCACATCTCTGTGGACATCAAGTCGCTCTTCCCTCCTACTGGCTTCATAGAACAACTATTGTTCTCCTGTTTGACATGATAAACCATGAGATAAGAGACAGCCCTGAAAGCAAGTCTCTGTGTGCAGGGAAGGCAGAGCAGCGCAAGAGCATCCGTGGGGACTGTGACACCGGGAAACATGAACCTCGGTGAGCATCGGAGAACCACCCCCTCTAATGCCTTAGGCTAAAGCCTTGGGTTTCACAGGCCGATTGGGTTGCACACAAGCCATGCCGAAACACAACACAGGGCTCGGAGCAGTGCAACAAGGAAAAAGAAAAAATATATTTTCCAAGAGGGATGGAGTGGGAGAAGCCCAAATAACACAAAACATTTTTCAGTCATATTCAACAAAACTAACTAAATGTAACAACTTCAACAGAATATAAACTTAGGTTTTTTTGCCCTTTGTCCTCTTTTCTTTCCCAGGAAACTTTGGACTTTGGCTTGTAACTTACAAAGTGTTCGTCTTGAGTCTCCACCTACCTGGAAGTATTGATTTTACCTTACATCATATTTTTATGATGTTTGCATTACACCACACAAGTATGTTAACAAGATTACAACCTGATCTGAGGCTAGGCCTGATCTGAGAATCCAAATCAGAATTTTCCACTGGGGTTTCAAGCCCTGCAAGGCCCAGCTCTGCCTCTCCTCCTGCTCTGGCCGTCACCACCACTGCAGCCCATAGGGAATGCCAATGTCCAAAGCAGCAACTCAGTCACATGCACCTTAATTACATGGCTGCTTAAATAGCCACAATTCTCTGATAACAGGCAAAAGCCCTTCGGGCAGAGATGATAGCAACTGTTAGATCAAAGCACGAGACAAAAAACACCAACACAGCCACTAAAAAAGGGCTCTCGGGAACGCTGAAAGGGGCAGCCTGGTGCATCAGTTGCGCGCTCAGGACAGGCTGCATGAGTGACATCGAGAAACTGCAGTAGAATAGCGAGACGGAGGCACTAGCCTGCAAGTCTCTTCCTCAAAAGGAGAGCTAATACATGAGCTAATTACTGGCAGGAAAGGGTAATTGCTTAAAAAAAAAAAAAAA